TTGAGAATTAGTTCCATCTCCAAAGACGTATGCTTTACTATTTTTTTCCCTTAAAGACAATCTCTGAATATGCCAATGAAGTCGTCTGGGTTCTTTTTCCTTGCAATTAGAAACACTGTCTTCTTAATTTGTGGCAACGAACACAACAACCAACAGGTTATTCTGGCTAAATTATACTTTGCTTTGGAAGGCATTAAGACAAACCTTTATCTTTTTTTTATTATTTTCAAAGCTTTAGCATCAGCCTATGTTGGATCGGCGCTGTTCGTATGCTTAAATTGTGAGCTTTCTTCTTGCAAGTGCATACTCCATCAAGGCAAGTACCACTTTATCATGCTGTAAACTGCAAAGCATCAGAATTGAAGTGTAGCAAAATGCACTTTCCTTGATTTTTATTTGCGAGTCAATCCATTTTTTCTACTACTAGGAATATGCATTCTTTTACAACCATTTTCCCCTCTTACTGTTGTGATCAAGTTATAGCAATCCAGAGATACTAAAAGTTTGTTTGTCCTCAGGCCTATGACGATGATGATTAATTAGACATACTGATCATAAGAATACCTTAATATTTTATGAGCTTGGTCCTTTTATAAGTACAAATACATGTGAGCATGAAAAATAATGGCATGCATGTATATTTGATGGTTTATCCTCCTTCTCACATTGTGATGTGTGACGTCTCAGTCACTTTCAGTTTGTGACTGATGCCTACATACTGTTGGGCAGTGTTTTAATCTATGGATCACCAGAATGACCCGTTTAAAAATTTCTAATCTTAGGACTGCTCGCCCTCAAACCGACTGGGGCCATTTCTCTTATTAAAAAAGACAACATAGACGTATGCACAGGCTTTTCGATGGGCTGCAGTGTCACCGCGCCTCTGCATGCTAGTTAATCTATCAATGTAAACTATGCCACCTCATTAAATCGTGCATTCATTTTCCCTTGGGAATCAAGTCATGCATCTCAATAACTATTCAATTTTCACGCTAATTTTTGTGTGGTCAGGAACGATACACTTGTCAGACGTTTGAAGAAAAAACATATAGTTCACGCTTTCTTTTTTCTTTTTTTATACACCATCTTGTCATATACTTTGATTGTATAAAATCGTGAGCTAATAACACTCTTACATTTATATTGTAATTAGTTTTAGGTGTTTTAAGCACTTATTGATTATTGGTGCATTTGTTTTAACACGGTTTCCGTGTCAGCGCGCAAAGCATCATCTAATTTTGTTAGTCCATAAGTCCAAACGAATGAGATATGAGCGGCGACTTATCGGAGAAGCTGGGAGGGGACGGTTTATAAAAGAAGCCACCCCCAAAAAGAATATCTACTATTCAATCCTTTTGGTTATCTTTTTGAGTAATTCGACCAGGTCATGCATCTCAATAACTATTCAATTTTCACACTAATTTTTGTGTGGTCATGAACGATATACGCGTCAGACGTTTGAAGAAAAAACATATAGTTCACGCTTTATTTTTTCTTTTTTATACACCATCTTGTCATATACTTTGATTGCATAAAATCGTGAGCTAATAACACTCTTACATTTATATTGTAATTAGTTTTAGGTGTTTTAAGCACTTATTGATTATTGATGCATTTGTTTTAACACGGTTTCCGTGTCAGCGCGCAAAGCATCATCTAATTTTGTTAGTCCATAAGTCCAAACGAGTGAGATATGAGCGGCGACTTATCGGAGAAGCTGGGAGGGGACGGTTTATAGAAGAAGCCACCCCCAAAAAAAATATCTACTATTCAATCCTTTTGGTTATCTTTTTGAGTAACTAGATGATTTCCCGCGCGTTGTTGTGGAAATTTTACCTAAATTTGGTATTATGCGTTGTTAAGGAAGATCAATCCTCCTACTTATATCATTCAAGTTTAGACAAAGAGACCAACAATCAATTACCACAGAACCAACCGGTTAAAGTTTTCCAATATACGCTACCATTGAGTTGTTGCCAAGCTTTCAAATAAAAAATAGCTTCCTAATTCTCATGTTTTCATCCATTCTTTAAAGAATAATTTGAAACAAAGTGAGTAATAGAGAAAATTTGAAAGACCACACTTGTCTGAAATTTTAAATCTCATAATATGCATAATCATTTCCATGTACATCTTCACCATGCTTGAGTGGAGAGCTGTCAAGTTGAACTTGTTGCATGTTAGGAAACTACATAATCAAGACAAAAGCAACATGTGAACATCAAGATACTTTTGTTATTTAGAGAAGATACATTTATTTTGCATTAAAATCAATTAGTATTAGAATAACTTTTGGATTTCACAAAGTAATTTCACCAGACATCTTTAGCAATATACGATAGTAAGATGTTGGAAAATGTGATCCTAAAAAGGGAATGGAAGAATAGGAGTTGCGAGTGGATGATAGTATTGCCTTCCCCAATGGCTCAGTAACACGGCTGATAACATCTAGGATTTTGCGCAAAATCGACTATAGGGAAAATTAGATCAAACGATAACATTTTTGTAGGTCTTAGTTGATTTTTTTAGGATTACGAGTGTACCTAAATAGTCGTTACACTTGTATCTTTGTGAAACTCTTTCGGTGTGGCTGACCAGATAAAATAAGCAAATGTAATGCAGAATGTTCAACAAAGTTTAACCATAATGTTCATAATTCCTGTTCGCACAAAACTTTATAATTTAGGGAGCACTATATAGTTTCAGTGATCTGTGATCGACCATGTTAAAGATGAAATTGTAGAATAATTTATTTATGCCTCCATACTATATGCCTTTTTTCTAACATCTACATGGAACACTTATACAAAGGGAAGTATAGAGAAAATTATTGTGGAATTCATAAAAAAGGAAGCAAGCCATAATGATCTGCAGTAAAACATTTATATGACTTACCTCAGAAACGTAAATATGCATATACCTTCAGACTATTGCATGTATTGGAAGTAACCTTCAGAAAGAGAATGCAAATTAGAAAAAAGTTACGAGTTAGACCGCAGCAAGTAAGACATCACTTGAAATTGCTTCAGTTATTTTGTTTACCAGTTATTCCGAAGAAAATGATTACCAGCTAGCACACAATGTATAATTTGTCCTCCAGAAGCATAAAGAAGACGACGACTTTAGTACCTTTTCAGGAAAGAAGCAAGATAATTTATGATGCTCTATTTACATATCAAGATCTTTAACAAAAACAGCTTGAGATAGATAGATATGGCACTTACAGATGGTGCTACTGGAGGGCCCGTAGAAGCTGAAAATCAACGGGAATAACTTGCTTCTTGTTAACTTAAGACATGGAATGGGTTTTTTAACCATACACGAGAACTGAATGTGTTGAATTAACATTAATAAAAGTATAAACGACCTTAAAACCTTACAACACTGAACAACCGAGGGAACAAACAACAACTAATGCACATACTAACCAAGCACACTATAGCAAGGAAACAATAGTAAATAAAGACTTTAGCAACTCATCTAGCCACGTGAAATAGGAGAATGACCTGACTGTATAAATAGCCATGAAAATGTGCAGCAGTTATAGAATTCCTAGAATTTTGTATATAACCTACAGAACTTCCAAGCAAACATATTCGTTCAGATCATCAAGATGAGAAAGGCCATGCTAGCTGGCGACTGCTACTGCTGCATGACAGCTACTTTTCAATGTATACCTAGTATCGTACCTGAAAGAAGCAGGCTTCGCAGCAAAGTCCTGTAGCGATGCATAATGCACACCATCATGTTTCTTCTCTCTCATATCCTCAAGACATATATCATTTTGAAACAGGTTGAATCAAGCCAACCCAAACTGAAGCATTTATTTTAGCTCGTCCTTCTATACCATCCAAAATTCGGAGAATCATCAAAACAACTATCCGCTATCAGAAACACCAAGAGTCTGTCTAATCAGCCTCTAATCATAGGGAGAAAGATGTCGTGCTTGCTCACAGATGCCCATACCTTAGCATCAGCTTGGAAAAGCAATTCCACCATTCCTGCAGTATAATCTGGTCTGTGAATTAGTCGGGGCGGAACCTGCGGGAGGAGATGGATCTATCGCCCCTCCAAGCCGTCGCTCTGAATGGAGCCCTGCCCGGCCTCACCACCAGCCCGACCCTCGGAGGACCAGCACCACGGGCATATGTTACCCGCGTTCAGGCAGAACACCGGCAATTTCTCCGGCAGGGGCAGCGCGATAGCCGCCACATGCCCTATCCTTCTCATCTCTTCGATCGGCGGGTGGAAGGAGTCGAGCAGCCACCCGGTTGTTGGGTGTAGGTACATGTGCTAACGGCGACTGGATGTGAGAGATTAGGAGGTCTCAGGAGGAAGATTTGTTTGGGGGCTAAGAAGGCAGACCGATGGAGGCAGAGGACGGGTTGGGAATTAAAGGAGGAAGTGGAAGTGGAATGGGAAGGGGGGCGTTTTGTGTGGCTTGCGAGAGCACTGAATCAGAGTGAAAGGGTGCTCGTGAGGACATATTGTATTGGGCCTTTAGCAGTAACTGAAGGCTTATGTGGCAGGGTTGCTGCATTGGTTGGTCCCGTATGTAAGTCCCTAACAAAACGCTGATGTGACAAGTGTGCTTAGGTGAATAGGCTGCATGTTAAGAGAAATAGTTTAATGTGGATAAACTATTTAGATATTATAGATTATAGATTCGACCCATTCATTTTTTTCGGGAAAAAACAGTAAAGTTCAAGAAAATTCGGCTAGGCGACAGCCACATCCAAAGCCCTTTGCTTCCCAGGCCGGTTTCCCCCGGTCCCGGCGTGGCCGCAGCCGCGGTTCCTTCCTCCCCCAACTCCGAGCAACTGGCCCGAGCAAAGTATCCGTCCCTTTTCCACATCACGCCGCCCCCCACCCACCCACCCACCTCCTCCTCTTCCCACTGTTCCATCGTCTTTGCGCTCGGCCCCCTTCCCGCCGGCCCGTCCCTCGCTCGGCACACAAGCCGCCTCCGCGCCTCGGTTTCCGAAACGCCCCCGGCTCCAATGGCGCTGCCCTACCTGGAGGCCGTCCTGTGTAAGATTCCGCCTCTCCGCTGCTCATTCCCGGTAGTCGCTTGTCTGCTCGCTCGATCCCTGGGGGCGTGTCGGCTTTCGATGGGCACGGGATCCGCGTGTAAACCCTAGCCAGGGGTTAGTGGGGTTCGGGGGCTTTTCGCTGCTGGATTTGCCCGTGCCGCGGAGCCGTTTGTGTGTCTGGGTAGTTTGATTTCTCTGGTGTAGCCGAGTGATCTTGATGGCTTTGGCGTGAGTCATGGGGGTGCGAGGGGTTATCCAGGTGCAGTGATCTGAGGTTTTGGATAGATTGAGTTACCTGTTAGTGTAGAGTATTCAGCATGGCAGGAACATCGGCAAAATTACATTTGACTGAAGATGGTCACCATCACCTTGATCACTGGACTTGTTTGTGCTGTCAAGCTCTGCTATGCAACACAAAATGTGGTACTGTGCAGATTTGATGATCACTTACTAGAACGAAACGAGCCAATATTTCTGAATTAAGTTACAAGCAGTAGTGCTTAACATAAGTTTGTCAAAATTGTGTGAACAGATCGTATGTGCAAAGTCAAGATTTTGTATTTTTATTTACCTTGTTATCGTCATCATGATTGTTGTAGCTATTGTCTATCCCTGACATGCTCGTCTCATTGTATGTCCCTTCTGCAGGCTTTATGACTCTCAATTACATATTTGAGACATATCTTAACATCAGGCAGCATAGAGCCCTTAAGTTACCAACATTGCCAAAATCCCTGGCAAAAGTAATTAGTCATGAAAAATTTGAGCAGGCGAGAGCTTATAGCCTGGACAAAAGGTGCTTGTAATACTCCACTCAATCCTTGCAACCATACCTCATTTAGAAACCATTCCTGACACCTAATTTCATTAGCTGTGTTCCCACTTAATATTCTCTGTATCTTTTTAGATCGTCTGTACTGACAGGTATACTTCCTCTTGCAGCAATTTCAATTTTGTACGTGAGGCCATAACTATAGTATGTGATATCGTAATACTGTACTATAAAGTTCTTCCTTGGTTTTGGAAGGTAATACAAAGTCTTCAACTTGCTTTCCTTTACCCTTTTTGTGCAGGAGCTTGGTTCTAACTATCCTCTTCCTTTTATAGAAATCTGGAGTGTTAGTAACCAATGTTGGCCTGAATGCAGAAAATGAGATAATACACACCCTTGCATTCTTAGCAGGTGTCATGGTTTGGTCACAGGTATTATCAATTTATTTGCCTCTTTCAGAAGGCCACATGTGTTTATTAATTTTTCTCTGCTTTCGTATTCAGTTGTTTTAAATTTTCTTCAAGAGTCTTTTGTACTTAATTTGGATTAGGTATATGTGGCGCATTAGCTTTAGCTCTGAAGGACCAAATGCTTGATTATCTATGGTGCTAGCTATTGCAGGAAGGAATCTAAGAATCAGGATTTAATTTCATAGTTTTTCGACACCTATAAACTCCTTGATGTGTCTTTCTTTCTGCTGATTTTGGTCCTGACAGAGATACTTCTAAAATTAAGCGGAACACTGATGCGGCACAGTTTTCACTTCTAAAATAGCTATGTTTAATGGAACGCAATTGGAATGATTGGTGCTTTTATCAGAGTTCACCTAGCCCATATCCATTTCAACAATTTCACTAGTTGTTTTTTTAACCTATAACATAAGGTGCATTTGTTTTGTTCAAACGTGCATCAATTAAGATTCTGATTTCTTTAGATTGATCAATCAGCAGTTCTTTTTGAATGCTTCCATAGCACCTAAGCAGTAACCTCAATGTTGACCTGTGTTCATTGTGTATCATTATTTTCTCTTACGGCAATCCAATTTCTTATGTAAATGTGACTGCCTAATACATACTTGATGCAATACAGATCACAGACTTGCCATTCTCTCTATACTCGACTTTTGTTATTGAGGCTCGACACGGTTTTAACAAGGTACGTCTATATTTTTCAGTTTCTGCACTTCCTTTTGTGAACATAAAGCAAATATACGTATGGATGTATTTGAATGTTGTCAACTTGTGGTGCTTTGGAGCACTTAATTCGAACATAAAGGAAATACATGTATGTGTTTGAATTGTATCAACTTGTGGTGCTTTGGAGCACTTAATAATTTGATATCTTCATTTCCTAACGTATTTATGTTGTTTTTTCTCTTGCCCTTTCTCAGCAAACATTCTGGCTCTTCATTTGGGACATGATCAAGGGAATTTTGCTGTCCGTTGTACTCGCACCACCAATTGTGGCTGCTATCATCGTCATAGTACAGGTACACCATATTTTTCTGCTGTGCCACCCTCTATTCTGAACTATCATGCTAACATGCATCTTTATTAACTGTGCCTTTAAGCCTTTTTGCAATCAGATGAACACATATGTCACCTAACTGAATTACTTTATTAATCTTCTTTTTCCTGTACTGCTTCAGAATGGAGGGCCTTACCTAGCAATATATCTCTGGGGTTTTATGTTTGCACTAGCTCTCCTGATGATGACAATTTACCCCATCATGATAGCTCCTCTGTTCAACAAATTCACTCCTGTGAGTATCTTTTCTTGTTGCACTGTATCAGTCATTTTCCTCATTCAATATGGTTTCGTGTGAGAATGGTATGTACATCCATGCTGTATCTGTATCTGCATAATAACTTCATGGTAAGACTGAACTTGAAGTTGCTGATTTCAACAGCTTCCCGAAGGCTCACTCAGGGAGAAAATAGAGAAGTTGGCAGATTCCCTCAAGTTTCCTCTGAAAAAGCTTTTTGTGGTGGATGGGTCTACTCGATCAAGCCACAGTAATGTATATGTTAATCAATCTGCTTTCAGAGTTTGTTTCATTGCTAACTACTTATTGATGGTCTTCTGATATGATTTCAACTGTCAATCTCTTTCAGGCTTACATGTATGGGTTTTTCAAGAATAAGCGCATTGTTCTCTATGACACATTGATACAACAGGTTCAAACAAACCACCATTTTTTGTACTATGTTCATTATTTTTTCCATTGCGATTTGGGAACTCATGCGCAGGTTCGACTACTTGGCTGTTATCCTTGTGTTTGTTTCAGTGTAGTAATGATAATGAGATAGTTTCTGTTCTTGCGCACGAGCTTGGGCACTGGAAACTTAATCACACTGCATATTCCTTTGTAGCTGTGCAGGTATTTTCTCATTCTTCCAGATAACTAATTATGTCCTCTGCGTACCAGTCAGCCAATTAGTTTTGTTGCATTAGTATTTGCATACTAGATAGGTAAGGTACCGTTTGGTTGCATGGATGGAATTGTGTTTGGTAATAAAAACGAAGTTGGAGCCATTGGATCTTAGTGTCTTCAATTTTTCTACCATACATCCAGCTTCTATTGTAGTCTTTCCCCGTTCAAGTGTTATGTTGTCCATGTACAAAATAATAAACAACACATATTGCTGCTCCAATACAACTGTGCAAATGTAATAAAGAACATTACCAAAATTTACAGACCTGGAATGCCGAGCTGATCAGAAACGACAGAGAGGAGTTCTGAGACAGAGAGAAGTGTCACAGTGAGGAAAGAAAAGTAGGCCTGACGGGCTGTGCACTAGGCTCATGTGCGCTTGCGTGACAGTGCGGGCAATAGATGGCTCGGCTCTTCCGAGTTCTTTTACTGCTTGGATTTGTCCTGGTTGTTGGAGCTATATTCCCTTTAATGGGGTATATACCTACCCAGTCCAACCAAACAAATAAAATCATGGTTTCTAAAAGCTGGATGGTCATCTCTCATACAACTTCATCCAAGCAACCAAATGCTACGTGAAGATATGGTAGTCTTCAAGTGAACATGCCTTAGCCCGGAAATCCTGTGTTGTTTTTCCTGGAGATTCATTGTGCCATTTTTATTTGTTGCATCAGTTGGCCTATGGTATACTGATTATAAGGGAAGAAACAAAATTAAGCTTGGTCGGGGGCACTGATAAGAACGTGTTTGTATGAATTGAAGACACAGCTAGTTTTGAGAACTGATATAAAATCAAGCAGTATTGTTTCTAGTAAAGTATCATGTTTATTAGTAAAAAGTGCAAGATATTTCTTCTGATGAAGCCCCTAGTAGGTGGTGCTAATCTATATAGTAGATGTAATGTGACGAGTCATAAGTAGCTACTCACGGGAACGGTTAATTAGATGAATGAATATTTAACAAAATTATTTATAGCATAAGTTAACATAAAATCAATTTTAAGCATGCAAGGGGTTATACTGTTACAGGCACCTTCATGTGTGTTGTTCTAGTGTTACTGATAGAATTTGTGCAACAGTGCATCATAAAATCAGTTTGTGTCCCCATTGCATTGGTTGCTGGGAAACTATTATTTGATTTGATTAAAGAAAAGAAAAATCAAGCATCTCAAGCATTTTTTAGATGTTTAAAATTCCTTTGTTCACCTCATTTTCTACTTGCAGCTGCTTACATTTATGCAATTCGGAGGATACACTCTTGTAAGGAATTCCAAAGATCTCTTTGAAAGTTTTGGTTTCGAGGATCAGCCTGTAATCATTGGACTGATCATTTTTATGGTATGTCATGCTCGTATTTGTAAGAAGTATTATCGTGCTATTATCTTTCTGTGGAGATGTTTTAAGTACAATTTCCTCCCTAGCAGTAGTATCTTCGTGAAATGAAAATGAAATCGAATGTCAGCTGTTTACATCTTTCATTTAAACTTGCAGTGAGATGCACTTTCTACAGATTTCCAGCATTGTTACTCCATTGACACATACATTCTTTTCATGACAGCACACCATTATACCCATCCAACACCTTCTGAGTTTTTGCCTCAACCTTGTCAGCAGAGCATTTGAATTTCAGGTTCTCTCTTCTATTCATCTCAAGTTTTCCGTCGTGACAGCTTTCAAACATTTGGTCGCATACCTAATCCTATCTCAATGTCCAGGCTGATGCTTTTGCCAAGAACCTTGGGTATGCTCCTGAGCTCAGGGGAGCCCTTGTTAAACTACAGGTAACCATTTAAAGGCCTTTTGATTTTTGCTGCTTTTCTTATAGTTGACCATGGAGTCGGTGTTATTTTTCTACTGGACATCGACACCTTGCTTCAAGATCTGACCATAATCGATCACTAGATCAAGCAACTTACTTTCTCTCAAAATTCAATGCTGGTTTGAGAAACTACTAACATCCTCTTGTTTACTCTTGCTTTATTCTCTTACGCCTCTTTTTTTGGAAGCTCTTACAGCTCTCCTTTACTAAACTTATAGTACGTACCATTAATGTAGTATAGCGGTGCGGAGATTTGAGTTAATTAACTTGATATATGCTTGAAAATTTCAGGAAGAGAACTTATCGGCAATGAACACAGATCCGTGGTACTCAGCATACCACTACTCCCATCCACCCCTTGTTGAAAGACTGTCTGCTCTTGAAGACCTGGACAGCAAGAAAGAGAACTGATGGGAGATTATCTCATACTTGATGCGCATATGCCAACTATCATGGCATTGCTTCAATCTCAATGTAGTATGGATGTTTAGAGGGATTTATATGCAGACAGGGATCCGTATGAAAACGTGCTCCTCTAGGTTAAGATATGTATCATTCATCGATTGGCTTACTGTCTTATTGACATATACACACAGGATTGTTGGTCCTTTAACATTGACAAATAGAAGCTGATCAGCTACGAGATGTTCACATGCGCTGGTGCATCTTCTGTCCTCCAAGTTGACGTGTTACCTTGACCTTCTATAACTATGCTTACAACAATGCCGTATTAGAATTGTCTCTTGTGCAACAGAGTTTTATCGTGTTCAGATCAAACTTAAAACTCTTTCGAGGCGTGTCTTGCTTTTGGTCTTTTTCCCCTAGGTGACTAGGGTTTCGTTTTCCTCTGGCGGTGGTGCGACCCCAGAGTTTCTCTCTACCAGCGATCGATCCCTCCTGATTGCCTGCTGCTCCTCGTCGTCTAGGGTTGGGGGAAGCTTTGCTTCTTCGCGGCCTTGTTCTGCACGAAGTCTCAGGAGTCTCGGCGGTATTCAAGATGGAAGCGGGCAGCAGTAACCCTAGTAAAAAGACTTCACATAGCGAGGAGGTTGAGGAGTTGCTCGGCAGATTGGCTCTCCATGAAGATGAGGGCGACGATTTCGTATGGGAGGAGGAGGAGAATCTGCCAGATATTCAAGCTAAGTGGTTAGCAATTGCGAGGGTACACACAGACAAGGGATTCAGTCCGTGGCTTTGTACGCGGACATGAGGTCTGCTCGGAATCCCGCGAAGGATGTGCGGTGGCGTATGATTGACACCAATTTGTTCAGAGTGCAGTTTGCATGTCTTGGCGATTGGAACATGGCGATGGCTCAGGGACCTTGGTTATTCAGGAATCAAGCAGTAGTTCTACTGGAGTATGACGGCTATACAAATCCTAGAATGATAGTCCTGGATAAAGTAGCTGTGTGGGCTAGAATTTTTGGTCTACCGGACAATTACTTGAATGAGCCGGTGATCAAAGGTATGTGCAGGAAATTGGGGAAGATCCTTGAGGTGCAAATTCAGTTGCCGGCTGGATATGTTGGTGCTTTTGTCCGTGTTAGAGCTAATCTTGATGTCAGCAAAAAGCTTGAGCGCTTTGTCTCCATCACACGGGGAGGAAAGAAGGACTGGTATATGGTTAAATATGAGAAACTTCCAATTTTCTGTAACAATTGTGGTTTGTTGAGCCACTGGTATGAGGAGTGTGGCACCGGTGAGCATGATGTGTCTAAGTTTGAATGGGGTGATTTCATACTGGCAGATGAATGGCGAGGAAGAGGAGGTGGCCGTGGATCAGGTAGAGGGGGTGGAAGAGGCAGAGGTGGAGCAGTGTTCGGTCGGGGTGTTGGCAGAGGTGCGCCGCCCAATGATGCAACTAATTCGGACGGGATCCCTGTGAATAACTGAAGGTATAACAGTGTGTTAAACACAAGATCTATGGGTACGACAACGATGGAGATTGAGGATCCAGGTGCAACAAATACTATTCTATCAAGCCAAGACGTGAGAAGTAATTTGCTAAATATGCATGTGAAGAGAGGACCGGATGATATAGTAAGTGCCCCTGGTGACTTGGGTACGAGTTTGGCTATTGTTCCAGTACACCAAGGAGGCTCCAAGGATGCCCTGGACAGTGACGAGATTGTTGAGGATCCAGAGACTGTAATATCGGATCCGGCTGCTGTTAATTCATCCAAAAAAATGTGAGAAAGAAGTTAAAGGGAGAGGATGGCTCTGTTATTAGCAATGATAATGATGTTTTGGTGGGCTTCCTAGAGGGGCGCCGCTCGGGCCAATGAATGCCCTGATTTGGAACTGCCAGGGAGGGGGGAATTCCCGAACAGTTCGAGATTTGGCGACGATGGTGCAGTCGCATTCCCCCAAATTTGTATTTTTGTGTGAAACTCGACAGGAAGCTAGTAAGATGAGGAGATATAGGGGTCGTCTCGGCCTTAAGGGTTTTGAAGGTGTGGATAGCTCAGGCATGAGTGGTGGTTTGGCGTTATACTGGCATGAATCATATCAAGTTACTTTGCTGGGGAAGGATGATCGGTACATTGATGTTTCTGTCATAACTGAGCCGAACGGTGAGCCATGGAGATTGACCGGGGTGTATGGAGAGCCTAGGGTGGAGAATAGACATCTTATGTGGTCTACCTTACAAGACTTGAGTGCACAATCTAATTTACCCTGGCTAGTAATCGGAGATTTTAACAAGGCGTTGTGGAGTTTTGAACATATGTCCCTTACACCCTGCCCTGAACCACAAATGGCAGCTTTCTGGAATACTTTGATGCTTTGTGATTTAGTGGACCTGGGTTTTTCAGTTGTGCCCTATACCCACGACAATATGAGGTATGGTGCAGCAAATGTGCGAGTCCGTTTAGATCGAGCGGTGGCTACAAATTCTTGGCGGAACTTGTTCGCTTTTACAGTGTGCGGCACCTTGCGTCTCCATGTTCTGATCATGTGCAGTTATTGCTCAAGGGTGCCCCGGACCAGGAACAACGTAAAGTGCATCCACGCAGGTATGAGATATTTTGGGAAAGAGACGCCGGGCTACCAGAATTAGTCCGCAAGGCTTGGGAGGCCTATGGTGCTATGGATGATCTAGGCCATGTCAATAAAGCTTTGAGAGAGACTATGGTGTCCCTTCGGAAGTAGAGCAGTAAAAAGTTCAGATGACGATAATGTTAAACTTTGTAGCGATTTTTCGGATGAGGAAATTTCGGATGCTCTTCTCAAATTGGGCCTTTAAAAGCCCCTGGGCCAGATGGTTTTCCATCAAGATTCTTTAAGAGGAATAGGGATGTGGTCAAGACTAATATAACTAAAGCAGTGAAGGAGTTTTTCAGAATGGGTATTATGCCGGATGGTGTTAATGAGACATCTATCATTCTTATTCCGAAAATTGTGAATCCAGTCAAGGTCTCCGATTTCCGGCCTATTAGCCTATGTAATGTTATTTACAATGTTGTTTCCAAATGTTTGGTTAATAGATTGCGTCCTCTCCTGGACGATATAATTCTCCTGAGCAGAGTGCCTTCATATCTGGTAGGATGATAACTGACAATGCCCTGGTTGCATTTGAGTGCATCCACCATATTAAACAGGAGAAGGATCCTACTAAGGGATTTTGTGCTTACAGAGTAGATCTATCAAAGGCATATGATCGGGTTGATTGGAATTTCTTGAGGCAAGTGATCCAAAAGATGGGGTTTTCACATCGATGGATTGACTGCATTATGACTTGTGTCACATCGGTGAGGTATACTGTAAAATTAAATGGAATCTCCTTGGATTCATTTGCACCGTCGCGTGGGCTTCGGCAAGGTGATCCACTCTCCCCGTTCTTATTTCTGTTCGTCGCTGATGGTCTATCTACTATTCTCAGAAATAGGGTGAACTCTGGAATTATTTTGCCAGTGAACGTCGTAGGGCTCCGGGAATCTCTTAAAGCAAATCGTGTACAAGCGGAAAGAATTAGGTCTTGTCTTGACCTTTATGCTAGAGCTACATGCCAGTTTTTAAATTATAATAAGTGTTCAATCATGTTTGGTGAAGCATGCCCTACCAATCTTCAGGAGGAGGTGAGAGATATTCTGAATATTCAGAATGCTAGTTTCGAGGAGAAATACTTGGGTCTTCCAACACCCAATGGTCGTATGTCCAAAGGCAAGTTTCAAAATTTACAAGCACAACTCTTGAAAAGACTTGTCCAATGGGGTGATGGCCATCTTGCTCAGCCAGACAGGGAAGTTCTTATTAAATCAGTGGCGCAAGCACTTCCTACATATATTATGGGTGTTTTTAAACTGCCTTTTTTCTGTGTGTGATGATTTAACAAACATAACGTGGAACTTCTATTGGGGTTCGAGGGAAGGAAAACGAAAGGTTCATTGGAAGGGTTGGCAAAAACTCCAGCAGCCAAAATGTAAAGGCGGAGCTGGGTTTCGGGACTTTCGGATATTCAATCAAGCACTACTCGCGCGCCAGGCATGGAGACTGTTGACAAAGCCGGACAGCCTACGTGCTCAACTTCTTAAAGCTCGGTATTATCCAAATGGGAAGCTAGAGGACACTGTGTTCGCAGGTAACACCTCATCCACGTGGACGGCGATTTCTCATGGCCTAGATCTTTTGAAGAAGGGGCTGATCTGGAGAGTCGGCAATGGCCAGCAGATAAGAATCTGGAGAGACAGCTGGATACCAAGGCCTTTCTCATATAAACCTATCTCGCCACAGGGTACGTGTCGGTTCCGCTTTGTCTCCCAGCTGCTCAACAACAATGGTTCATGAAATGCAAATTTGCTGCAGTCTATTTTCTTGCCATGTGATGTTACAGAGATCCTAAAAATTAGAGCCTCACCAAGACTTGGAGATGACATGCTTGCATGGGGACACGGAAGATTGGGAGCCTTCTCTGTGAAATCTGCTTACAACATGGCTTTTGAAGAAACCTGCAAAATGACTTCGGTTGCAACTAGTTCGGCGCCTGATGGTCGTAGGATGTGTTGGAAAATGATATGCAACGTCCCACCTACAATCAAGAATTTTGCATGGCATGTGGGTATGAACTCGCTTCCAACTTGGGAAAATAAACACAAGCGAGGACTAGAGGAGTCAGATGTGTGCCCAGTGTGTGACAGAGAAACTGAATCTTCCTTCCATGCTTTATGTCGCTGTCCCCTAGCCGTGGACCTTTGGAACTGCATGGGGGAGGCATGGCGTCTGCCAAGATTGAGAAATATTAGTAACACGGGGACCGAGTGGCCCCTTGATATTTTATTTCCGCTAAGTGAGATTGAACGGGCGATGCTACTCTTCACACTATGGAGGTGTTGGCACAATCGGAATGAAGTTGTTCATGGCAAGATTCCACCTTCGATGGATGTCTCAAAGCAATTCTTGTGCAGCTACCTTGA